TCATAAATCTCGAGAGGCTTTGTGTTTGGTAATATTATCTCTATGGAGATATGAAAGAATGTTAGTACCATGTCTTTTACAATAAGTGTATCCTTTATTTTGACATTCATGAAGAATAAAGGGATGGAATATGACAAGTGAAGAAGGTGGATTTTCAATTTCTGGAGGATTTATTCCCTGGTTGTAATTCAACTCACTCATATTCGTTACAATCAGGAAGCTGCCACCAACTCATTAACAGAGTGAAACCATGGACATGGATTGCTTACAGATTAACCATGGAAAGAATAGATTTCCACTTTGTTGTGTTTTGTTTTTCGTACTAAATGACAGAATCTGTAGTTCACAGATTACTTAGTTCTTGACCTAAATCTGGTGAGCAATCCAAATTAGTAATGAAGCTGAAATGGATAGTAAGCACAAATTCATGGAGGAGCAGGGAGCCAAGACTTTATACTTTGAAACTAAATATTTGTGCTTCTCGTTTTGAAAATCAAGTTAAAACATGAACTGTTTTGCTGCAAACTTGGGTTGCATGTCTATTGAGCTGCATTTGTAAATAAAGTGATTTTATTTGGACATGTGCAAAGTTTTATAAGTGAAATACAATCTACATAAACAGAATAAGAACAACTTTGTGGAATCTAATAAAATATATTCATGGTACATAGCCTGTAAAGTAAGATCACTAACTTTATATTTCAACTTTAAGAATACAGGTAAACAAAAATTTGTGCGGGCCTTGTGACCTCTTTGTATTGTGTTCGTATTGGTTGTAATTGCAAAGTCAAATTACAGAGTCCTCTTATGGTTCCAGTGGAGGTGCACTGGCACAAAGAGCCGGGATACAAATTCCAAGACACCAGAAAATCACTTGGCCCTGGTCCCTGGATATGTTTTACAACATGACCAGGGAACAAACATTACTAACACTAGAATTTTCACATAATTGCAGGTGCAATGGCATGAAGAGTCTGGGGTCCAAAGCCACTGGAAAATCACTTGGCCTTGGTCAGTTTTAGAGTTTGAACATGACCAAGTAACAAGCATCACTGAAACTAAATTTGTTGACATAATTGCAGATACACTAGTCAAGTAGCTTTGGAAGATTGATTAAGTGCCTTTGGAGCTTAACAAAAGCTGGGGGTGATTGGGAAAAACACCTTCTGAAATGGTTGTTTTAGGTTCTAGTTAATGTGACCCAGACAATCATAATGTGCAGCACCCTGCATCCAGGCATTAATATACTATGCATAACAACGACAAAAATACATTTACAAGTCAGTCTATGGATTCTGGGGCTACAGATAGCTTAATAGCTCGTAGTGGCCAGCATCCTTTCGCATGCACTGTATATAAGATCTGTTTTCTACTCGAAAAAGCTTAATGTTCATTAAAGATTGAATTCCCTTTGCAAAAGATATAAGATATTCTCTTGACCTTTGGGATAAGGAATGAGCCAATCCAACAGCATCACTCTTTATTCCAAAAAGATTAAGCTTCTGTTTCTTGATGTTGGCATGCAATTCAACCCCAAGGAATTATTATGCTAACAAACTTCTTTGGTGACTTTGAACAGTAAAGAAAGACTTTGGCATAGTTTTTGCAATGCCTGTCTTGATTATTCGCGAGCATAATTATCAAATGGGGTTATTTTTGATGTTGACTTTGTAGGTGGGATTCGATTGCGATTTGCTTTCTTGAAAAGGTGGAGGGCAATGATCTCTATATAAACCCAATGGGGGCATGTGCCATGGCATAGCAGTAAGAAACAAGTTGTAGAGCATTGTTTAGATTGATCAGAGAAGTTTCCAATAGTCCTCAAAGGCTTCCAATATTCCAGGACAATATTGGCATCAATATTGGAACGTTGGGGGCCTGCGAGGACCATTGAAGAGTTACTCTTTGTGTCTCACTACTATTCATTCAATTTCCACTGCCCCTTCATAAGTGAAAAAAAGAGTTTTGATCGGAGATGAAGCAAAGAAATTACCTGCAACAACATGGTACAACTTTGGTGTAATAGGTATTTTATTTTGTTTTTATAATTCGAAAATGCACAGTTTCCAAATAATTTTCCCATGGATTTAGGAGTCAAACCCAAAAATATTAGGACAATACTTTATTTATTTGAATATTTAGTAACCTCTTAGGTTGATAATAGTTTTAATGTCACTTGGATGGCTAGAAAATGTGTATAGATTCACCAAGTTTGCTACTCGAAAGGACTCTTTGAACTCTTGGGAAACATCTGACCAAAAAAAAAACCTCTTGGGAAACTCTACTAGCATACCCGTGTTTAATCAACATGCATAAAATTAATGAATACTTCTATTTTTAGATTAAGCTACAAAGAACCTTTTTTTATTATTTAAACAATAACGCTAATTTCACAATAGAGCTTGACTACAAAAATTCCACTGAGCAAACAAGGGATCATTGAACTAAGAAATTCATGTGAAAAAACTACTCCAGTATTAACCTCCGAATATTCCAAATGGTTATTAGGTAATTATTGTTTCTTCTTCATTGTTAATTTGGAAGATGCTGGGAAATTCATGTGAAAGTACTTTGCACCTATCTCATGTCATCAATGCAGTATAGCAACGTGAACTCCGAAAAAACATAGTAGTTTTATGTCATCAATGCAGCCTGGTTCTATATATAGATGTCTCTCCTACCTCCCCCCTTTCCCTCTCTCTCTCTCTCTCTCTCTCTCTCTCTCTCTCTCGCCTTATATATGCATAAACCTCATTGTATATATACATAGTTGTCATATATCTATATAGGAGTTCTATTACGGTATCGAAATGTTAGGTTTAATTATGGTACTTTCACTTTTTTTATTTATATATACGTATGTATGGTGGATTGCCAAATGACAGAGTGGTACAGCAAGGGATGTTTGTTCAGGAGTAGAAGTCCTTGGAAATTCAGCTTCTTCTGGTCTCTCTCCCTCAATGTCTATTCTACCGGGCTACTTCAATTTTGGGAGCTTCAGGAGGAGACTTTGGGGGCGAGGGATCAGGAAAATGCTGGCTTTCACAAGTAATGGGTTCATCGTATTTCCAAACGTAAGTTGATCACTTTGTGTGTGTATGTGGTGGTGTTTTTTTTTTTTTTTTTTTTTTTTGGGGGGGGGGGGGGGGTTTTAAGAAAATAATAATGACGTGGCTACAAAAAACATTTATCAAAAATTGTTTATCAATAATTGGAAATGGTTTTTTGTTTTTTGTTTTGGTCAAGAATAATTGGAAATGGTTTGATAAATGGATCTTATTCAAAAATTTGATAGGACCATTGATCCAATAATATATATTGATTTAATATGTAAAATTTGATAAACTTTTTCGTAAGTATAGTAGTTCTTACGTATAAGTAAGATGTTTTACCATTATTTGCAGTATGCTGTAGGGAAGGAAAAAATATTGGGTGCAACAGTGACGCCACGTCATCATTAACACGTGATGTTATTATCTAATAATAAATTTATAAATAAACAAGTGAATCTCACATAATCTAATAACCATCCTAAGTTACATTTTTCACGCCTGGTATCTATTATTCTTTATTACTTAAAATTGGTATGTAGTGAAACCAAGGGCCGCTGATTCACTGAAAGGTTAATTACTGCTGTCTGAACTAGGGATGGCAGTGGATGGGGAAAAAGCGGGTATTTGTCCAAACCCGTTCTGTTTGGACCGGAGATAGACTATACGTATTGAACGGTGGACGTATACGAAAATACACGTATAAATCCGTACAAAATGAAGGCAGGGATAGACTTATCCTTACCCCCGCCCCGTCCCGCCCCTCCCCTCCCCGCCCCCACTACCCGTTATATATATATATACTCACAAGCCTTAATTAAACATATTTACTGTAACTACTAATCTAGAAATATGGTAATCAAACTAACAAGTGGCATTGCTATGTGATAATCTTATCAATTTTTTTCCTGATTATTCTTTTATCTATTTGTGTTCACTGATTGAAACTGTTAGGAGTTTGGATTGATCATTCTCTAAAAACAGATAAGAGAGAGTAAGATAGTTTTGCATTTCATTGTGGATAGAAATATTGTGAATGGAGGTTGATAAGTTTTTCTGCTAGAGTGAACTAAGAAATTGAGAGAATTATTGAATTAGCGAAATTTTAAGTTTTCATCTTTTAACACTTTTATGGCTGTAATATGAATTGAAATAATAAAATTTTTTCTAGGAAACTTCAAGTGTAGTGCTATCATTTTCTTAGTTCAATTTGTTGAATTATTTAAAATATTATATTTATTTAGAATTTTGAATTATGCTACTTGGGCTTGAGCTTAACGGGTATGGAAAAGCGGGGACGGGGACGGGATTAAAAATTTATCCGTGGACGGGGATGAAGATAAAAATTATACACGTTAACGGGGGTAGACCGGGAATAGACAAAGTTTTTTTAAGCAGGTACGGAGATGAAGACTATACTCCCCCCGCCCCCGCTTTAGTCTGAACTACTGGTTCCAATTAACACAACTCCTCTATATACAGCTTTATGAATTAAATGGGAGCTGCTTCCAGAGGGTTTTCTTAAAATCAACACAGATGGAGCCTCTAATGGCAATGCTGGAGAAGCTGGGGGAGGGGTTGTTCAGCCTAATCAATGGGGACAGTTAGTAGTTGCAGGCTCATTTTATTATGGGCATTATACTAATCTGGAAGCAGAGGGTCGAGCTATGCTTGATGGTTTGATCCTATTGGAGGACTATGGCTTGTTGTTTTATCCATTTATCATTGAGTCAGACTCTTAAGTATTATTGTATATGATTTCTGGTAAAGTTAGCACTCTATGGAGACTTAGGAGATTGATTGCTCGAATTTCCAGGAAATTGAGTAATCTGTCTTCTACACTTTTTTTTTTTTTATTCTGTCTTCTACACTGGTTCACACTGACAGAGAAGGAAATATGGTGGTTGATTGCTTAGCCAGGAAAGGGGTTATAGATAAGGCCGATCATCGAATTGATTCTTCTAATTCTTTACCAGCCCAAGCAAGATTTTTGGTTTTACAGGACCATTTGCAAATTAAAACATCAAGAAAGAAGATATTCTGGGTTTATTACCCACCTAACCCCGAGGTGGCCAGGCGTTAAACAAATATGTCTTTCAAAATTATTGACAGAATTCTTTTACAGAAAAAAGTATTCAAGAGGAATAATTGGAGAATAGTGCTGCTAGACTACAGAGAAGCAAGGAGTACATACATTGCGTTTATAGATCCTCTGGAGAGTATGCAGCATCTCAAGCTTCTGGAATCTCAATCGTCATTGTCAGTGGATATCTCTGATCTTCTGTTTAAAAGACTCTTTCGCAAAGCCTCTTGGTTTCTTTTCGTCTCTTCAGCGGCTATACCACAGATTAAGCTTCAATGGGGATCTTCTTGCTGGAGATTCATTTTCTTCCTTGGTCTGAAGAAAATAATTAGTGATGTTCTTTTTCTTTCCTATTTTCCTCGTTACAGCATCAAGTCCATGCCTGAACTAAGGATCTCAGACCTCAAATCAGAAGACTCCATGGCTCTGCAAATCTTCTGGAAACTCATCTCACCACCAGTGGGGAGAGGCTCCTCTAATGGATTTTTCTGGCTCTGTTCAGTGTCGATTGGTCTCTTGGGGAGGCTCCCTCTTGGTTTCCTGGCTTTCTGTGGGCTCCTATTTTTTCCTTCTTGGATCTGGGCTTTAATAGCTATATGCCGCTGGATGTTATCTTCCTATCTGATCAGAACTCTTTACTTCTATGAAGGGATCTTGCTGGATATTCATCTTCTTCATCCATCTCAGCTTCCAGTTGCCTTCTGCATTGGATTTCTCTGCAACAGGTTGCACTTCGCTGGATATTCATCTTCAATCAGGTTCGATGAAGGAGAGTATATGGCAGAAAGCTTGGAAGTCTTCACAGTGGTTCAGAGATTTTTTCTGATTTTCGTTCTGAGACTAGTCAACTGCCTAGCAATGGGGTTAGCAGATCAGGCGCTTGATCAGCTTGCCTTATCCGTCTATATAATTATCATATCAGCTGTTTTTTCAGTTGACCAATCAAATCAAAGCCTTATCAGATTACAGGCTTTTCAACTGTCCTTATCTGATCAGAGCTTTTATCAAGATCAGAGCACCAGGCCTTATCTGATAAGCTTTGCTTTTAGCTTAAATGCCTTCAGCTCAATTCTCTCAGCTTACTATGGCTCGCAGCTCATGCTCCCAGCTCATCCTTTCAGGTTACAATTAGGGGTGTCAAACTTGTCGGCTTAAATGGTTATGTGTCAGGTTAAACGAGTGATGGGTGAAAAATATATAAACTTGTACATGACACGTTTAATAAATAGATAAAAAATCTAAATACGAATACGAACCATTTAATAAACAAATAACACGACGCGACTCGTTTAACTCATTTAATTTTATTAAAATTTTAACCCACAGAAAAAAAACTATCTTATTAAAATTTTAAACTCCATTAATTATCCACACCAACTGTACTCTTTTAATTAAAAGATTTGGGTTACCCGAGACTCGACCGCCTCATAAAACGCAAAAAAAATCAACTATCTCGAATTCGATGAAATTTGATGTGGTAACTAGGTTTCGTGAGACGAATCCAACGATGAGGTCCGTTTCATCATCCGAGATCTAAAAAATTTCAGGTTTTCAACCCATACTGTAACAACAAAATTATCGTTTTGCCTTTGTTTACAAAAGTTTAAATTTATCGGGTTTTACAAATGCATTGGGTCAATTTTACGAGGCTTAATGGGTAATTAAAACCTCAGAGATTGGGGTGCCACGGATTATTTTGATTAAGTATTGATTTTAGGATACATAAGTCTTCTAAAAGATTTTTTATGTTTTCTAGAGTAATTTTAAAAGTATCTATGTTTTTTATGTTGTTTCTCAATTTATTCTCGAATGGATTAGCACCAAAGAATTGAAATTTTTGATTATTTGCAATAATTTGTAGACAATCTTTTTTATTTGGTGAATTATAGAATAAGTACATCTGTTTTTGCTTTTGAATGACAAATTTTGTCATTGCTTTGAGAAGTTTATGTATTAATATTTTTTATCCATACTTAGGTTACAACTATGTATGAATTACAATTATTTCAAGTGGACTAAAACTTTTAATTTAAACGTTGCAAATCAACCTTTAGGTGTATATCATTATTTAAATACTATAAGAAATATTTGAGTGAATTAGAGTGGTGTTCCTAAATGTGACTAGGATATACTCATTTGAAAACATGGATGAAGTCTAAGTATGATCATTGCATACAACCAAAGTAGACATCAATTCATATGAATTCACTCACATTCACTAAATTATTATAGGGTCAATGCTTACTTTCATTTGCACATATGCTAATTATTAGGGTTACCTCGGTTGCACATAGGGATCTAATGTAAAGCAAGGAGGGGTATCTGTCAGTGATAAAGGTGAAGTGTACTGCTTCATAATCATTGGAAATTAAAGTATATGATATCAAGTTTATTTTCCTGTATGTGAGAAATCAATTGTTCCAAATTGTTTTGAGTTGAGTTTCTTAAATTATGAATCAAATGTGCTTTATGAAAAGCATGACATGGCTAACGTGTTGTTGATTTTGACATGGAGCAGTTGCTGTAGCTTGACATTGCTTAAATATTGTTGTTTGACTCCTTACTTATGTGGATATTTATTATTTGAATATATGAGGTTGATTTAAGTTTCAAGGTGAGTGGAGTTCACTTTGATTGAGTTTTGTGGGTTGTATATTTTTGGTGGAATAATATTTGATCCATATTTTTGTTATATATCTTTTGATTATGATGTTTAGTACACTCAAGAAAATTATTAGTTTTAGGATGCCGAAGTCTAGAGTGGGGTCCACTACTGTACTAGCCTGGTAGAGATGGGGAGAAATTAAGGAAGCTGGTTTTGTACATATTGTACAAGAGAGTTTGTTTTTCCATGTTGTTATAAAGGGTTGGAATCCCTAATCTTTTGTTTTGGTAGAGAAGACACCATTGGCACTCTGTTACGTAGTTTTTCTATTTTGTTATAGCATTAGGTGGCATATTGATTTTAAATCCATTATTGCATTTTCCATCTCTGGGAAACCAATGGGGTCCCTTGGGATGGGGTGTGATAGTTTGAGTAGTCACATTTTTGGTTTCGTTTTTTCAATGAAACTGCCATTAGACCAAATTAGTTTTTTTTTTTAGAATAGATCGTTTTCTCCATATTCTTAGTATTGTACTGTTATACTATAATTTTGATTCATATCGTTATAACCATATATAATTTCTATAATATGATATGTAAATTCTACTTTTGATTTCTTCTTCTCTTCAAGTTTGTGGCTCTATATTTTCAGTACATGTAATTGTTTGAAGGTTCAATTTTTTTGTTTCAGTTTTATGACTATAATGCTTATTTTATTTTGTTAATTGTGATTGTATCAACACATGAACCAATGCTGTCACACTGTGTTGTTACACTATTAAATCAAAAGAATGTGTGCATTTGTAATTGTAGTGGCCAAGCTCTGAAACAATGATGTCATACTCTGTTGTCATAGTATTAAAACAAAGGAATGTGTGTGTACTTGTCGTGTTCAAGCTGCCAAGCCAATAGTGTCACACTTTTTTGTCACAATATTAAACCAAATGAATGTGCGTGTGTAATTGCACTGTCTAAGCCACTGCACCAATGATGTCTTTGCATCTAGAAAAATTTATCAAAACCCCTTGTCACACTATAAATTCATATGCCAAGATACAAAAAACACTACGACAACAAATGGTTACTCAAGCAAAACAACACTCTATAAAAACAAAATGTGTTAACAAAGTGTTCATCGAAAATGTGACTATAAAAGTGACTTTATATATAATGGATAGGTAGTGTGACTCCAAAGGAAAAAAAACCACATTTCAAACACTATGGTTATTCCTTTCACGAAAAAAAAAGAAAAAAAAAAGAAAAAAGAAAAAGTGACCTTCCCCAATTCTTGTGGTTAACCATATGCTCATACGTGGCCGTCTTCTCGGTGATAATGGACTCATAAGTAACCCTCTGTCACTTCCTATACGTAGACTCAAGAGGTTCCTCAGGATCCTCCTCACTCGTCGTGGCCTTCCCCTTTTCTTTCTCCTTCCTATTAACCATTGGCCTTGATTATCACCCCCCCCCACCCCGGACCATATAGGGTGGGTGTCGGACCGGCCACCGAGGCCTTAACCAATCAACCCTGTGCATAATAAATGCAAAATATAGCAGAAGAGAAATAATAACATGGTCCATTCCACCGACCTAATGAATACCAGAGGAATAAACTAAACACCACCAATATCATTACTAACCTCATGTAAATCAATAATTAAGCCATAGGGTTCACTACTCTAAGCATAAGCAATATTGTTTCCAAAACAATTAAATATTTGTCTCAAAACTATAAAAGACTTTTATTCCTGAAGAGCAACAATAAAATAAATTTTCAATTTCTCTAATTTCTTGTCTATCTATGGACTTACTCCTCACCCTGATCCTCACTTGAAAAAATTTTAAATAGTTAGATGAGCATAATGACCCGTGAATAACAACCACTTCTAATGAGGTGTGAAAATAAATTTCACTATTTATATACGAAAATAAACTTTGATACACATATAAGTACAACAAATTATACCCCAACCTCTCTCACATAATCATTTAAACAAATTGATCTCATGATCACAAATAACTTTATAAATGAAAAGATATTTATAACTCAAAACACCACTCATTTTCACAAATAACTTTACAAATGAAGAGACATTTGTAACCCAAAACACTCACACACATATTTAGTTCCAAATACACTTGTCAAATCATGTTTGTTACTACTAGTTTGGTAACTGACTCAGTCTCTTATCAACACTAGCCTGATGACTAGTCCCGTCTCTTGTCATCTCGTCTATTGTTACCACTACCTTGGTAACTAGCTCAGTCTCTTGTCATCACTATCCTGATGATTGGTCCAGTCTCTTCTTACCACTTAGACATGATTTTCACACACACCAAAACTATAGTTTTAGTCCCAACGCACACAAATTTTCTCTTTCGTCACCAAAGCAATGATATAAAAATCATCCCACAAGTTTTCCAAAATTCATATGTATAACAGTTTACAATTTTAAAACATTTAATTACAACCCCAAACATCAACACATATATCATATATATGAAAAATCCACACGCACGTACCCACGCATTGAATATAGAAAATCCTCCCAAAAGAAGTAGTAAACTACTCACATTGATTTTCAAAATTCAATTAAAAGAACTCTTTTCCAACCTCAATACAATCACTACCTAATCCAAAAGAACATATAATAATCAATCTCTATTTCTAATTTCGTCGTTTTGCAATTCTATATTTAATTTACGTACTTCCTACCCATTGATATATACTAAATATATCATTTACATATAACTACCCTTTCTATATGAGGTGATAGGGTATAGAAGTATTCTGGGCTGTTTAGACAAAATTTCTAAAATTTTGGGGTCAAATCAAAATTTTTTAAACTTTTGGGGTCAAAGTGTAATTTATTTAAAAAGAATTTTATGTTTTCGGGACTGCCATAAAGTTTTCAAAATTCTATTGTTCCAACTTATCAAGTAAAACAATGATTAAAATTAAATTTTAAAGAATGTAGGGGTCAAACTAAAGTTTCTTGAAGTCAAAGGGGTGATTTATGTAATTTTAGGACTTTGTCTTCTTCAACAACGAAATCATCCAGCTTTTATATTTTACAAGTTCAAATCAAATCCCTTTTTCTTTTCATTTTATTTTTTTTCTTTTTCTTTATAACACATTGATTAAACTCAATCAATTACAAACAACTATAAACTTAAAGTTCAACTTAATAACTTCAATAATCAACAAGGTACCATGAGAACCATATATATATATATATATATAGAAACCAACATTATAAACCTTACACCATCTAATTGATTTAGAATGTATGTAGAGAAGTAATCAATCCTAACCTTTAATGGAATCAACTCTTTGTTTTTTTCTTTTTCCTTCTTCCTTCTCCCTCTTTGTCTCTCCACTAAGCCACCTCTTTCTTTCTATGTTTCTTCCTTTTTTTTTATTTTGCCCTCTTTTGACTGCCTAAATATATATTTATACAAAGTAAAAGAAACCCTACAGTAACCCTACAATTTTTTATTCCTTAATTACACTAACATCCCTTTTTAAAAAGAATATCACAAATTGACC